TTGTCTGTCTGTCTGGCCATAGTGACAACTCTGTCCTTGTCTGTCTGTCCAACCGTAGCTTGATTCCTCAGTCAGCTCCCCAGATTGTCTACTTTGAGAATCGGATTCCTGTTGGTTGCTCTGGCTAGAGTGAGAGTCTTGTCTGAGTCTCCCAGACTGGCCACAGCTTGATTGTTGTTCATGCCTTTCAGACTGACCGTAGTGAGAATACTGAACTGGTTTCTCAGATAGATTGCAAGCAAAAATGTATTCTTGCTCTTTTGGCAGGCCAGTGCTAGACTCATGACTCAGTGTTTGACCACAGTCAGAATCTTGACCTTGTCTTTCATATTGATCTGATTGGCCATGATAGGAATCCCTGTCTTGTCCCTCTGACTGACCATGGTCCGAATCCCTATTTTGTTTCTCTGACTGATCATAGCTGAAGTCCTGGCCCTGTCTCTCAGTTGGACCMTGATGGAAATCCCTATCTTTTCTCTCAGACTGATTGTGTTGGGCATCCTGACTTTGTCTCTCAGACTGTGGGTGGAAGGGGTTCTGCCTCTCTCCCTCGTGCTTCTGCCTGTGTGTTCTGCCCGTGTCTTGGGTTACTTCCTGCTGGGAGGTTCTGTGACCACATGACTTCTTACCTAGCTTTCGGTGGCAGGCTTGGACCAACTGGAACACCAACAAGAGGTATTCTTGAAAATCAACCTGTCCATCTAAGTCTAGGTCTAAGAGGGTCAGTATGTTTTCCACAGTCTTTGGGTCATTTGGTCTCTGTGAGAAGATAAAAAAACAACAACAAAGAACCAAATCAGATATTCTCTTATGGATACTGAGATGCATATCAATGCTCACATCCTAATCCATTCATTTCACACAAGGGCTTTTGCTTATTGACAAATGGATTAATCTGAAGTAGCTTGGGCTTTGTTCTAGTCTATGGTCAGTTGGTTCTCAGAACCTCATCCCTTGCTGGACTAGCAGGAAAATGACTCTAGGGAGTAGAAAGACTTATTTAAAATCAGTTCTATTAATAATTAATTAGAATCATTTGAGGAAGTTATTCCATCCCTTAATGTTCCATATCCTGAATGTTTGTTCACCAACTTCTTTCTCACCACACTGTAAAATCCTGCAAGGAGAAGCTAGTTTTATCCATGTTCATATCCCTAGTGACTAGGCTTGTGCTGGCATAGAGTAGGTATGCAATGATCTTTACCGAAAGAAAGAAACCATACTTGAGAACATGTATGGACAGCATTAAATATAGAAATCAAAATATGAATCTCAGACTTTCTTCTGAATAGTTATTGCTTATTACTTTGAAGTTGTACTGTCTCTCATTCAAGCTCAGACACAAGGAGGGAGGTGTGTGTGTGTGTGTGTGTGTGTGTGTGTGTGTGTGTGGTGTTTGCTGGGAGAAAACTACTAAGGAGCTGCCTGAATTCTTTTTGTTCCAGGGTGGAGCATGAAATCAAATGAAATAAAACATTAAACTCTGGTTGCAAATGTCAGAATCATTCACACTTGACTCTGTATGGCCAAGTGCCTATGTATTTTACCTGGAGGATGTCTCCAAATTCAGTTAAGAGCAGCTGTTTCAACTCCTTCTTGGATAGTGAAGTGCAGTTCTCTTTGGCATACATATGGAAAGCTTTGATCACATTGAGTATGCTGTTCAGGAGTTCAGCCATTTTGGAAAATGCAGGTAAACTAAAAGAAAAAGAAAAAAAAAAGATTTTGTCTGTGTTTGAGATAAGGACCAGGAGATACCATTTCCAGAGAGAATGTAACCTCTTTTGGTTTGGAAAAGAAGCTTAAGAAATAATGGAGCCCCCTCTTAGCTATACCCAAAGTCAAGCTCCAAATATCATGTGCGAAGGTAGAAGTGGTACAAACTGGTTTTCCTGCTAGAAAAGAGAAAACTTACTAAAAAACAAAAAAATGTATGGTAGGTGCTTTACATGCTATATCCTGGGCAGAACTTGCAAGATTAAACTTTCATATCAGAACAAAAAGGAAGGCAGTCGGGAAGCCCATAGAGGCATGGCCCGAAGCAGCGTAGTAGAATATTGTTTTCTACCAACAGTTAGCATACTGGAGGGGACACTGATTAGACCCCATCCAACAGGTCTCAGTCTTCTAATGGATTTTTCTTAAGCAAGGGGGAAGGCTAAGGGTCTCTCGCAATGATCTAAGTAAGCTCTCTAGAAGGCTAAATTCCAGCAAGTGCTTCTGGCCTAAATAGTCATCTGGGGACCTGTGTATAAAATGGAATCAGTAAACACAGATCTGTTACGGATAAAAATACCAAGTGGGTAYGTAGCCAAATTCACTGCATAGACGACAGGAAGTATATATTGTCAGTTAAGTCCATACGGGCTATGCTGGGAGGTCGGGTCTTTTGGGATCTGTAGGTCAATGGCATTTCCTCTTGTGGTATAAAATTTCCAGTTACTGGGTTTATGGGCTTCCAAACTAAAGCCCTGACTGCAGAACACATTGTACTTCCAACAGCAGACAGTGAAGCCGATGAGGATGAGTAGTAAATAATGAATTGCACGGGACAAACAGAGTCCTTTGTAGAGATTTGTTGCAATGACACTTGAGTATTGTTAAGGCTCCATGGTCCAGGGGCTTGACCTTCAGGAACCCCAAACTCTTGGGTCTTGCCTAACAGGCACAGAAGGTAAATGCTCCACTATGGGAGACTCAGCTATCCATGAATAATCTTAACCCTTAGTTCTGGGATGCCTAGTATATATTGAAGTAATGGCCCATGTATTTTACAAGCTCAGATATAGGCCACCCTAGCTATCATCATATTCTTAGAGCCCAGAAATGGAAGGTACCCCTGGCTATCACCCACAGGGAATAGTCTCAGGCCTCCCCAGCCCAGCGTACGACAGCAAGAACATTGCAGATACTGCCATTGCTCCCCCGTGAATGTCTTACCTTCTTGAAGAGGAGTGAGCAGAAGATTCAGAAGTCAGGAAGGATACTGGAGACCCGCAAACTCGACTTATTTATAAGGGGTTCTAATTGTCCTTCTAGGTCGTCATAGGAGACACCCTACTGTGGTAAAGCCTGAATCACTCTGGGTCCAACCCAGCTCAACCCAGCTTAACCTCTCTCTCTGTAAACTGTTTGGTTTATTTACTTCCCCCAGTTGCTCATGAACCTGTTTGTCATTGCAGAAGATTGACACTCTTCAAGTCTCAGCCCTACTTAATTAGGGGAGTGTGCATACATGTATGCTGTAGGGGTCCCAAAAGACAGGTGCACGCTGAGTTCATCCTTAATAAATGTCAGTTGTCAAGACTAATGGGAGGCAACAGTCAAATTATAACAGAGAAGGGTATCTACCTGGTTACATGATGAAAACCTGTCAAAGCAAGGATTAGGAGGTTTTATGTGTTTGGCCAAGATATTGTTCCTGGAAGAGATTTATCTTAGACTCTTCTATTTCAAATAAGCAGATATTTGTTTTTACCATATTGATCTATTTTGAGTTGCTATTTTTTAAAAATATTGTTTCGTTGTCAATGGATCTTTATTTATTTATATGTGGTGCTGAGAATTGAACCCAGTGCCTCACACATGCTAGGCACACTGAGTTACAGCCCCAGCCCTTGAATTGCTTTTTTTTTTTTTCATTTAACAGCCCCACTGTTAATAAGCTAGGGGAGAAGTAGATACATGATCAATTTGGGGACACGTTATGGGGGATTATGATGGTGAAACGGCCACCACTTGAGACTTTTAATTCTTACTAAAATGTTAGAGGTGAGGGACGTGTTGCAAGCTTGTCGTATCTGTGAGGTAGACACTGTCCGAGACCTAGGTCTCCAGTTATTCCTCGTCTCTACATCTGTGTTTGCCAGCAGGGTGTCTTCAGTGCAGATTCTTAGTAAATGTTCTTGGGGTAAATTAATTATTGCATTGCAGAGTTTTGTGTAAGGTACAAAGAATTCTACAGTTATCTGTATTTCAGTTTTTGTCTCACATCTAGGTCTCTGGTTATACCTTTCCTATATATCTATCAACCAATCAGTTATTAGTAGAAGTCACTTGTTATTATTTATGATATGTTCAGAATTCTACATAGGAATCACAAAAGTACAGGAAGATTTTCGTCCACCTGGAATAATGAGGTTTCATATTGAAAAAAAAATTGAACAACAGGGGTGGGACATGGTCGGTGTTGAGTATTAGGTGCGTGTGGTGTTCTGATGGCCTGGGCTTGGGCTTCAGGTAGGCAGAAAAGAAAGCAAAGAAATTCTGGGTGGGGAGAAGGGAAGGACCAAAGGCATAAAGGTGAGAATACACATGTGTTTGAATTAGGATGAACTAAGTCTGAACAAAGAGAGGATACATAGAAAACTAGAGTTAGGGGATTTTTGAGCTGAAAAGGAAATCTAGTCTTAGACTCCTTATTTACCAATCAGGAAGTTGAGTTCAGTTGGACCGAGTGATGTTCCAAGGGCCCCCAGGACTGTGACAGAAGCCAGGCCCAGCACACTTGTGTTCTAACCCCAGCCCAATCTGCTTTCTTATACACTCTCTGGTATAGACCTGGGACTGACTCTAGGGTTTATTTTAATGAGAAATGTGAATCAGGGACCATTTTGATCAGAAAAGTGACCTGATCCAGGCATTGTTGGGGGAAGATTTTAACCTGACTGCAGTAGGWAGCCAGCTGCCTCAGTTTGTCTGGGACTAAGAGATTTCCCAGCACGTGAGATTTTCAGTGTTAAAATTGGGAGAGTTCTGGGAAGCGTGGGACAAATTTGTCACCTTAGACTGGGATGCATAAGACAGATTGGAAAGAGGAATTTCAGAATAGGGATACCAGTYAGGAGTCCTTTATATGGTGTGGGTGAGAAATGAAATGAGGGCTTTGACCTGGATTCAGCAGGTCAAAACTTTCGGGAGGTGGATAGATAATAGGAGGAAAAAAAAAGACGGTGTGGGGGCAGATGAGATGAGGGGCAGAGAACKCGTCAATGTCAGGAGTAACTCAAAGTCTTCAAGTTTTGATGACCGCAGGAACTGTGGCACACTGAGGAAACGTGATTTCTACACGGCACCTGATAGCACGGAATGCTCCGCGCCCCTCCTGACCGACGTTCACCAGGATTTCTGCTTTTCAGAGTCTGGTTATGCTCCCTGTAGGAGCCTACGTCCTTTGTTCTTGGAAGTCTTCCAGTACCGGTCAGGACTTGCTTAAATCTGTTTATAAATCTTGAGAACTAGGTCACATGAAGATTCTCTTTATGCTTTTGTACCTCTCCTTAGTGTTCTTCATTTATTTCTCTTGTGAAGGTTTGATTAATCCTAGAGGCAAATAAGGGGTGTGGAGGCAGGGCAGGTAGGGGCTAAAGACAATACCATCCTGTGTTGGGTTAAACAGTAATCAGGGCTGAGGGAAGCTTGCAGTGAGACAACAAGGTCTCTAAAAATGTGATAATGAAGACAATGAAGAGGGGGAACTGGCAACTTTCCTTATCTCCAGTCTTTAGGAGAGGATCCAAACAGAGTGGCCTGATGGCAAGGTAAAGGAATGTCCTCATAAAGCATCTAAGGGAATCCTCCTGCAYGGATTTAGTGGGCATGCAGTCCACCCTATACCGTGCCCCTGCTTGTACGTGTGGGGCACCCCTCCATGGTGTCTCAGCCTGCAGCCACCAAAGAGTAAGTGATAAAATGTCTCCAAGTTCTTTCTTTGAAGTTGGTGGACAGTATGTTTGGGGTGTGTGCGTCATGAGAAAGAGCAGCAATGCTCCTTTATGTTGCTATGTTCCAGGGCTCCCCAGCAACTATTTCTTTTGGTTAGATGGGCAGTGATGCTGCAGTGGAGAGAGAGAGAGAGAGAGAGAGAGAGAGAGAGAGAGAGAGAGAGAGAGAATATGTTCTTAACAGTAGGATTTTCTGTGTATGCAGTCATTTAACACTTAATAAGTTCTTAAGGATGGGCAGAGAACTGTGTTGATCAGCCAATCAGTTAATAAATGGGTATTTGTGAGCATATAAGAGGCCCTTTTGTAGGCCCTGAGATAAGAGACAAACTGTTCTTAAAGAGTTTTCAATCTCACTGGGTGATTGAATACACACAAGATCATTGTCTGTGGTTCAAATTGCTTCCCAAATCTGATTGTCATTGTTAGGGTAGGAGGACATTGATTACAAGGAAGAAGGAGAAGCTGCAGTGGATAGAAATAATGTAGATTTTTCTTATGTGTATTGTATTGAAGGAATTGGGGAATGAGCTGGATGATTTGGGGCAAATCACTTAACCCCCTGGCCTTGAGTGTCTTCATCTGTAAAAGGAGAGGTTTGGAGCTTTCTTTTGGCGACAACATTCTAAGATTCTGTGATTCCAATCAAGGTTAGTTGGGGCCTTAGATGTAATATTTTTAATTTTGCTCAATTCACAAATTTGATGGAGGCCTCAGGACTTTGTGCTTCTCTATCTTTCTCTGTGGGAAATGGAGAAAGCCAATATGGCTGCTGTGTTACCTCATTAGCATCTGTAAACACACACTCTTTTTCTTCATTGTTTTCCAGTGTGTTTTGATACTTTGCATACAGTCATGTTGGAGTGTGGTCTTTTGGTCTCCAAGGCAAGAGGTTTCTAAGCTACATTTTATTGAAGTCTTGTGTGCTAGGCTCTGTTTTTTTATATGCCAAGCGT